GGTTAGTCGACCACCCGCTCAGCGGCCTGCGCCGCTCCGCTCGAAAAAGTGAAGCAGGAGCTGAAGTGTCCTGAGTAAATATACATTATAATGTCATGTTACTGGTCCTGCCTCTCGTGAATTTGTGGGTTTGTTGGTTTTCTTAACCTCTTTAAATATACATTCTTCCAATTCCAATTATTTTTTCTGACTTTCGGTGGAATCATACTGAGATTTCATGGTCATTATGTGTTATAGTAAAAATGTTTCAGTATTGCACATGACACAGATAGAAGATAGATGTAAAGCAGTGAAGACCCTCTGACAAAGAAATGGCATGCAACGGTGATAGTTAGCACCATTACATGACAGAAAAATACATGTCATTATATGGATTTCAACAGGCCGTCGGCCAGCTTGGTGTGCACTTGCAGTATACCTCCTCAGTGGAAACATATGTCGGTCTCATGAATTATGCACTAACCATTTCAATACAGCCAAATGGTTTTTGTGCTTTATGACCCGTGACTGGTGACCGGTGCATGATGCTTCACACCATGGAAGATGGAATATCTCAGTGTGACTGTCACCGTTTGAATGATGCTCAGCGACCTTTACGTTACGGCAGCAAACCGAGATGTTTCATGTATATCTCCACGTATGCACGATTGTGTTATATATTTTTTATATCACCACATCTCTGCCATCAGTCCCCTCCGTGTATTTTCTGCTTATTTCTATATTTGCCCAATGAGGTGCAATAGGTTTCTTCAAAAAATGCAAATTTCACACTGTTACGGAGCTAAATAATATATTTACCTCAAGGCCCCGTTCCTAATTAATCATCGGTATTTTGTATTAAGGCCGTGAGAATTGTGCAAAGGACGGAATGAGAGAATAAACGCTCGGGGCGTGGCCCTGCATAAGCTCCTCTGACTAAGAATGCCGATTTAAAATAAGCTCTCTCTTTCAGACAGTCATAACTCATACGGTTCGGGAGGAGATTTTAGTCCTGATTTAATAACGCTTGGTCCAAAAAAGACAGCGGGCCGGTGGCCAGATCTCCTGAGCTGCTGATGCTACCGCGTGATGACAGCGTGTTCCGGGTGGCAGAGAGAATCACGGGGAATTACACGGCAATCACAGTCTCAACTCTACTTTGAGTTAATCATGCTCGTTCTTATCTTACGAATCTTAATCTGTGATAGAGTAAACGTTTGAATTGTGTAGATTTGAATTATCTGTCAAATAAAAACTTAACGAGCTGTCAGATGAATGTCGACAAGGAAAAAGTTAAACATTTATCTTCTGTAGAAGATGTCTCCAACACTGGACATATTATACTCAATTTAAGTACCAGTTTCTAAAAATAACAGTAATAACAAAAATAATATTCACAAATCAGAATCACTAAATCTACACTAATTCTTTGTGACTGCTGTTAAAATACGTTTCTACCTTTTTCACTTTCATTCCGGCTGTTTTCTCGGAAGGGCAAAACCCAGCCTCTTCTTGTGATGTGTTTTCTCACAAAAGAAACCATTTCACATCCTTTCACTGAGGAGTTGAACGTAAGGCTTAAGGAAGCGTTTCGACTTGCCTGAAAAAACAGCCCAGGGTGACGATGTTCTCCTATAGGCCTGTTTTTAATCTGACGCGGAGCTGCTCGCCACACGACAGACTCTGGGAATGCAAAGGGTTTAAAAGGGAAAGAAAAGGATTTCCTCATACAGTACAACACTGTTAATATTCATTCTAAGGGTTTCACCGCTTCACCATCTTCTCTGCTACGGTTAAAAAAGGCCATCTGGATTGTTTGTCAGAGGATCTTCACCGAGATGACACTTTGATCCAATCCAATGACACAGGTTTCATTGTGATATTAAAGACAGTCCGACTCCCTCTTCTATCGGAATCTGTTGTTTTATGGAAGAGATGTTGGTCTCATGTTGTGTAACATACCCAGCTGGTTTTCTTATTGCACAATGAGCTCCTCGGATGCTTCATTTGTCTTTTTGGAAATGCTTTTTACCCATCAGGCCTCCACCTAAAAGTTAAGACTTTGATAATGGGCCATTGGTTTATGGGAGATGAGTTTACAGTTTGGCAGGCCGGCCGAAGCAGGTTTTGTTTTCTTCCTTCAGGTAAATGGAGAAGGTTAGAAAAAAAACTACAATAAAAAAGAATGAAGTGAAATCTGATCTGAGACAGATTCCCATTCAGTTTCGGCTTCACTGTCAACTTGAAACAAGCGATACTCGTAAAACTCTTTAAAATGCAATGCGTGAAGTTCATGCAGTTATTCTTCTTAGAATCCTCAGTGGGACGCCGAATAAAACAATTATTACCTGGGACGATGAATCTTATTAAACGACAATTTTGGAGAAGCAGTATTTACAGTTAAGCCCTCGGTGGCATCCATATTCCTGCCTGAGAACAGAGGGATTGAAGTTTTTAATTAATCGGAACGCCAGCATCCCCGAGGACACACACACACACACACACACACACACACACACACACACACACACACACACACACACACACACTGAGGCAGACCCGCCCACCCAGGCACAAACCCACACAATGCAGACTGTAGCAGGAACATTTAGGCGAGACAGGCGGAGAGTGCCACTCTGTCAAACTAAAAGTGTCTGAAGAGGAGGATGGAGCTTCATCGCCCATCACAAAGCACTACTGCACAGTGGAGGACCATACATAACATTATCATAAACGCCAGCAGCCCTTCTCAGGCGCCGGCGACTTGATAAAAACCATGTGTCGGCATACTCGGTCAATAAAGTTGATTTTTATTCGTTTTTTTTTTTTTTTTTTGAAGGTTGCAAAGGTGAGAAAGGGACAAAACGTTTTTGCTAATATGAAAAAAATGTCTAAATGTGAATCAGTGTGTGTTTCCATCAATGTGAATATACTCTACATTTCTTATCATTACACTCTGGTCCATCATGGTATTTCATTTACCTTTTTTTAATGTAACAAGTGTCACCAGGCTCCTGATGCTGCTGCTCTTTATATGCTGTATTTACTTTGGTCTTCCTGCACAGTGGGAGCATGTTACAGTAAATCCCAGCTAGTCATGGGGCGTTTTGCCGTCAGTAGGTGAAGCAGAATCAAGTACCATATCACTGTGTACTTGTACTTTCTGTGTGTATGTAAATTACTGGCCCTTATATGGTCACATTGTGTTTTTTATGTTTGTAATTAAGCACTTTGTGACATATGTCTGTAAAAAGCACTTTATAACTAAATCTTACTTACTTATTTAAATATTGCACTCGTCATTATCATACATCCCCCTCATCACTATGTCTGTACATCTGTACTTTTCACTCTCTTCCATATTTCCACTCAAGTGCTTTATGCACGAATCAAAAACCGGCATCATATAGGGCGGATGGAAATGCCCCCGGTGAAACGGAGAGAGAAAAGGGAGACAGTGTGCGTTGCCCCTTTAGCTTTTAGTCAGAACACACAAATCAGCATGACTCAACCTCACAGCCCTATTGATGTAATCCCCCCTTCAGCAAGACTCCCAGCAGAAAATGTGTGTGGTACTCAGTGAATGTGCATTTCTGCGTTTGCCCCTTCGGTCTGTTGTGCATGCAAATTGATAGTGTATGTCCGTGTGTGTGTGTGTGTGTGTGTGTGTATATACATGAATTTGACAGTGAAAAATGCTCATGTCTTTGTGGTCCCGCAAAATAATCTATTACCGTGCCACATCCCTGTGTCCGTGTGCGCACACACACACACACACACACACACACACACTCTAGACCCATATGTACACCGAGAATTGAAAGAATGCAGTGGACTGCAAAGTTATGACCGAATTCATTCACAAAGCAAACTTTTCAGCAGGCCGTGATGCACAGTGAAATATTTCCCCTGCACCATCACTGCCTGCAATAAGCTGTTTTTGGCCATAAAACTAATGTAGCAGTCACAGACACTGACTGCCCTCTAAAATGGAAATTCATAAGCCAAAATGGCACAGTGGGAATATCAAAATATGACATCCTCTGATTTTTCTACCCCCACAACCGCTTGCTGCCTCTTGCCGCCTCCCCATTCCATCCCCCCCGCTCTTCACCAGGGTTTTTCAACAGAAAGCACATCTGCTGTAGAAACTCTTCTGAAGGACATGTCAACCCTCCCTGACACAGCTGAGTATAGGCAGACAGACGGACGGCCTGGCCAGCGGTCTGACACCCCTCTCTGGTGGTCCGAAGGGAACCCAAATCTATAACTGGCTAAATCCGATACCAAGGAGGCTAAAACCTGCGTGGACAGTTCAACAGATCAAAGGAAAGCTGGCAGTACGCGTCTCATATGGAGCAGATGGGTTAAACTCGAGCAATCGCACCTTTATTTCAAATGTGGCTTTTTACTACAAGACCACCTGAAGACTTTGGTGTTGGTCTGGTTCAGATGTGGTCTGCTTCATCGAAACCAACTACAGGACCCAAAAAGGAGGTTTTCTGGGTATAAACAGGCATATGATATTTGATAACCGAACCTTGGAAAGTCCTGCATAAACAAAATGAGCCACGAGCAAACTGCAGTGTGCACTCCTGCTCTGTTTCAGCTGTTTCTACACGTGTTGTAAACTTAGTCAGAAGGCCCAAAAACATGCATTATGTTTATTATTACTATTGCGGTGCCTCTCTGAAGCAACTCGGACTATAATTAATGTTTTGTTTTGAAAATGTGCAACCTCGTGAGATGGCAAATAAACCGCCAACCGGCTATTTGGACAGTGATTGTACAATGTGACCAACTGTACAATTATTTTCTTCTCCTCTACCCGTGTTCATACCAGAGAAAACCAAACTGCAGGTGACTGGCAGAGATCAAAATCAGCTGCAAATACAATCTGACATGGAATCTGTATTCTGTGTCCGACTTTATGTCAAGAAAACGATCATGCACGATCAAACACACACACACACACACACACACACACACACACACACACAAACACAGCTCTATTTCGTTACCCAGTATGGCCCAATTGGGATGAGCTCTCCTGTTTCTACTTGGGTCCTGAAGTTCCGTGGAGGAGGGGCTCCCTCGGCCCAGAGCGGGCTGCCTGCCCTGAGCGCCCCCCCTGCCTGGAGCCGAAGTGTCCGAGACGCTCCAAGGTTCCCCACCCTCTGTAAGAGATGCGCTTCATTCAGGACCACCAACCAACAGCCATCGGGGGGGGGGGGGGGGGAGTCAGCAGGGTTCACAAAGGTCACAGGGAGGTGAAGACTCCAAATGATAAAAGGGGATAGTCGCAGGTCCAAAAGGGAGAAAAGGTCAAACAGGAACCGGAAAGAGAGCATTCAGATCATTCAGCTGACGGGCAGAAGTCGCATTCTGGGTGATTTCCAGGTAGGCAAAGGTGAAAGCACAAGGGGGCACACAGGAGCAAGGTTTGAAAGGAGTCCTGAGTTTCATGAAAGGAAGAATTGTAAGACCAGTTCGGCGTGTTAAGGAAGAGAAGGAGGAAAGAGGATTTGTTTTTGCCTGTAACATCGCTGAGGGAGTATAGTTCTTATCTGCAGCAGACATAGTAAGAAGAAGCTCTGAGATATTTAATGCATTGTCAGTGTCAATCACAGCTGGTCGAGATCACGCTCCGTATCGAGCTCCACAACTGACAGCTTTTCACACCAGTGAATTCTGCAACCCTCGAATCAAAGCTGCATGTGCTGCAAGTACAAATAAAGAGCCCGTCCGCAACCAGAGAACAATTTGGGTGGCGTTTACCAAGATTACACGTTGACAAACCGCACAGTCGGAGTGGTGAAAGGCCGCTGTTTAGCCCACTTACGTATGAAGAGAGTGCGCACACAACCAAATCGATAAAACAGTCACGCTAGACTCACACGAAAAACAAGCCCAGAATAGAGGCATCTGAAGCTGGCTGGCAAATTGGGGGCATGCAGTTATAGATTTTTAGTTAGGAGGACGGTTGTGGATGAAACAAATGCAAATTTATGTATCAATGCCCTCATTTAACATCTCTGCGAGCAGAGACTGGCACAGAACAAGAGCTCAGCGGGATGCTGTTTGTTTGTGTGTGTGTGTGTTGTTGGTGTGACCGCGGGTGCGTGCATTCTCGTACATGTGCGTGAGCGTGATGTACACTCTTGGCTCTTGGTCTGTTTAAGGCCACGTTGGCTTTTCAGGGATGCTGCTGTTCCGTGATCAAAAGAGGAGGCACGAAGGGAGGAGGGGGAGAGAAACGTAGAATACACGGCGTAGAATCCAATCGACCAGTAGGGACCTTCAAAGTGTGCTAAAAAGAAAATGTAAACTGCCGTGCTCCAAGGAAGCAAGAAAGTTCTGCAGAAATTACAACAGGGACTTTGAAAAGGGTGCTTGGTTCCCAAAAGCATATGAAGAAGGATTCTAGCCAGACCATGGAACAGCTGTGCATGACGGAAACAAGCTTACCCAAGTAAACTTTTCGTGCATCGAGACCCGTCTACCATGAAAGATAAAACGTATTAATGACACAGTTAACTACCACATCACTACACAACCCAGACGTGGTTGGAGGATAGTTGCACCCGCAAAAAGATTAAACTGAAACCCGCTGGAGCAAGTATATAAAATAACACCACAACACATTTATTTATATTTATTTATTTCGCCTGGTCATAAACACAAGGCCTTCACTTTTATGACTCTGCAAATGAAGTGTTTTGCAGTACGACAGAAACAACCAGATGGGATGACAAAAACAATACACAACAGTGCACTATTGCATTGCATTGTTGGACAGTTTCTTTTTTCTTTTTTTTTTTTTTTTTTACCAAATGCATAAATTCACCACATGTGCTCATTTAACAGCCCTGGCTTGTACAGTGGAGTGTGTCGTTACACTCCTTTCATAAAGATAAGCAAAGTGAAATCTGTCTCTCTGTGCTTCAACAAGACTTGGGCAAAGAAAGGTCAACCAGTGAGAATGAGACATCTCAACGATTTCAAGCAGCGGAAGAAGCGCAACGTTCCAAATCCACTTCTAGGAGAGAATGAAACAGTATAGCTCAGTCCAGCCCGGTTTCCTTTGGTAGAGTATGAAATTCTATTAAGACACGATGGCACAAGTGAAAGCCCCCAACGGCCCGAGCCGAGGCGACTTAATCCGGCGAGTTGACTGGGTGCAGCTGAGGGCTTAACACAAGGCCGCGGCTTTGGCGCACCTGCCGGTGGTCGGTCATGACCCGCCAGCGGCCGGCCGAGAAAAGCCCGACGTGATTATAACACGTCGTGATTAACTGCGCTGAAACAATGTCCTATTCATTGTTGACTCAAACGGAGTTATTTGCCACATTTAAACGCAATGGAAAGAGTTAACTATGTCAATGTGCAAACAGGCAGGCATGTGTCAGCATTGGTTCGGTGATTTTCAGCTCCAGACATGTTAAAACTGGGCAAAATGTGGTCAAAAGTAAAAGTTCTCGACAGTGTTTAAAGGATATTTAAAAGGTGGAAAAAGACTTAACCAAGGCGACGATGAAAATGTCCCAGTTTTAACTTCACAACTTAAAACTGAGCTAAATTTGGTTGAAAAGTCAAGAGATGTTTTCGATGTCTAGAAGAGAAATAACCTCAGTTTCACTGATGAAACAGGTAATTGAACACTCCACTTCCATCATGCACCATCTGCCCAGGTTTAATTTGTGAATATCTAATATCTGCATATCACACCGCATAAAATACATGGTTCCACCACACCATGCAAAGGTGTCAGGACATCTAAATCCTCCGTTTCCTGCGAGCCTCGCCTGACTGCATGTGCGCACCTATCTGTGTATGACTCTGTCTGCGTAGGTGTCTGCAACTGTGTATGTGAAAAGTTAATTGTCCATATTTGCATGCAGCATAAAGCAGCGGCGGGTGGCAGACCTGGCACACACTCCCCCCCCCCGCTGATTTGAGCTGTCAACCGCATTTATTAAGTATGATGAATCACCCCTCCACTTCACATCCAATCAAAGGCCTCTCAGAGGGACTCATATGTGGTCACCTTTAACTAAATGATTTTCTTGGCCCATGGTGCGCCAGCCAGTGATTGGACTGGCAACCTGATGATATGGCTGCTGTTGGAATTATGCTGCCAAAGGCCCACAGCTGGATCAGTCACTTTTGAAACAGTGTGGTGAATTAAGTGGCCAGCTGACGAGTAGCTGCATGGATAAGGAGGCGATCAAAAGGCATGGTGGGAATGAGGGGACGGAACGTAAAGGTGTTCTCTTGACCTTGCCTTAAGTGTTTGGATTAAATCTGTAGCAGGTTTTAGTCCTGGCTGCATAATACAGTACGGTTACAATGCAAGCTGACAGCTACCACTGAATCTGAATAAGAGTTCTTCCACAGCGTAGAGAGATTTTCCTGAAGCCTTGCCTTTCCTCCAAAACCACCAACAACTTCAATCTATTCATATTTAACTAAAATGCACTCGTACAAGTCTTGGAATCTCTGAGTAGCCAACATTGCTGCACACGTTGTGCTAAAAAATCCACTGTACATGGATGAGACAAGGTCAGCGAAAACACAAATCCCCAACAGGCCACGTTTTTCTCTCAGAGCACAAAAACAAAGCTCAGTCTGGAACTGTACACCTCGAACCTCGCTGAAGGATAAAGCCTTTGATCCCGACCTGAGCGGAAGAATTTGGGGCAGAAAAGAAGGAGGGGAACGGGGGGAGAGAGAGATAAATCGATGGATTCTTGTAGACACAGCCTCGAGTTTCCAATCTAACATGGCGCCGTATTGATTAGGCTTCATGTGAGACAAGGCGCAGGGACAGTAATGTCGGCAGTGGATTTGGGGAGTCTTTAACAAAACAAACTCCGGTGCAGGGGACGGGGCAACGAGATCTAGTGGGACAGATTTCGCAAACAGACGACATCCTGGAGACGAGGGCCGGCATGATGGATGGATGGACACAGTGAAGGGATGCACACCAGAAACACGTCCTGTCAGTGTACTACAGAACACTTAAAGACTAAAACAGTCCTTCTTTCTACATAAAGTTTGCCTTTCATAATGGCCAGAATGTTTCATTTCATATCATTATGAATGTCATCCATATCTATTTCAGACAGAAAAAGGTTAAGAGATGTCTGTTCATTTGTCAATATTTATAATAGTTCACGATTAAAAGCTGGTACTCCGAGCAAGTGCATTTTCCGCAACACTGTACAAATATTTCAGAATAAAAGCATTGTGTTTACATATGCAGGTGTGTGTTTACATTTTTTTCCACAGAGAGCAACTAGAGGGCTTTTGAAACGGAAACAAGTTGAGTTCACAAAAATATTAACATTTTTCATGCCTGTGACATGTTCTACAGATATAGACATCGAAACTTTAGTAATGTTGTTGCTATGATGTCGATATACTGTCAAAGGACAGTTTTGACTGTCTATTTTTGCTGTGAACTACACGTAGAAAAAAATAGGCGAGAACTCAAATTTATAGAAGAGAAGCAGCCGAAACGGATGCGCCGTCCACCAGCTCAAAACCTGGAAAAATAAAAGCAATTTAAGGTAAAGTTGCTGTGAGTCAGACTAGACTGAGAGATGTTATGTGACTGACATACAGAAAAAGAAAAACAATCACTTCTCATGATGCTGTTTTAATGACATTTTCTTCAGGGATTTGAGTCATCTATCGTTGCCTGTGTTTTCTTAAATATCAGCTCTTTCTTTTCTGACAGGAAAACATCCTTATTGTTTGTGATGGACCGTCAGCTGTGCAGGGTGTCTCTGGAGGTTTTAACAATCCGAAAGTCTTGTAGGACTGCTCTCGTGATCCGTTTAATAAGGGTCAGGAGCCAATCACAATTCAGTCCATCCCATTGGTGCATCACAAGGTTAAAGGCTGGGAAAAGAAGTGGGTGAACGCCCACTCCTTCCAAAACTTCTATAAAGTAAAACACTAAATCTGCTTGGTGGCAAACCATGTAGTTTATATCCAGAGCAACTCCCAGCTATATAAATGCATTTGACTGAATAAGCGTGAAGCGGGGAATGGCACAAAAAAAGTGTGCTCAGTCGACCAACTCTGGATAAATAAAGGCAGAAAAATAAAGTTAAGAGAACAGGCAGGATACTCTCTCCCCCTCTCTCTCTCTCTCTCTCTCTCTCTCTCT